TAGGTCAATCACTATTCGACAGCTGTAATTTCTCTTCCTATTCTTAACCTCTATGCCAGTATTTAATCTTTCCTTGTACGTTATCTCTGTTCTAGGAACTAACGCAATTCCTGGATCACGGTTCCAGTAAACTTGTGTCCGCTGCGTGATGTTTGTTCCCGCCAAACATCTCTGCAGAGCATTGCTTCCAAACACCTCTGTCAAACGCCTCTGTCAAGTACCTCTGCCAAACACCTCTGTCAAACGCCTCTGTCAAACGCCTCTGTCAAGCACCTCTGCCGATTGTGGGGCGTTGGGGCAGCGCCTGTGGGGCGTTGGGGCAGCGCCTGTGGGGCGTTGGGGCAGCGCCTGTGGGGCGTTGGGGCAGCGCCTGTGGGGTGTTGGGGCAGCGCCTGTGGGGCGTTGGGCCCGTGCAAGCAGTCATTCAGTTTGTAAAATGAAAGAAACAAATTAAACATCCATTATCCGAATTAGTTCACGTAACATAGATAAGTATTGCTTTGAAGAGTAGATACGCACAAAGCGCTGACACCAGTGCTCCGTTGGCAACGAACGCAATCAACAGTAACAACCATTTAACGTTCCCGATAATTTTTTATCTTATTTCAAAATATTGCACTTAATTAATTTATTTCATATACACATTTCGAATACAGCAAGAAAATAGATCACGGCCATCGCTCTCAAGTTTGCAAATCGTCAGCGGCTGTGAAAGTTTCGTGGTGACAGTCGCCATCTCTCCCTGCGTCGCTGCCGACAAAAGGGCTTTATTTTGGGGAACATATCTGGGGTGAAAATAGAAGAGAGCCTTAATTATTCACCCGTGATATCAGCTGTCAAAAATAACGCTGGCATCAATGAACAACATCACAGATGTAACAATGTCATAAACAAAAAATAATAGTAACACAAAATAGCCGCGTCACAGAATAGTAACAATATAAAAAATATAACTCAGTACTCACTGCAGTGAGTGACAGAGAGCGCATTTTCTCATCGACGAAAACGTGAAGTCACGGACGGGCGGACAAACAGACGGACAGACGGATGGATAGACGGACAGACGGACGGACATGGCGAGCACAATAATGCACTTATTTAATAAATGAGAAAATGCGCTAAAAACTCGACACAATAACGACGTCATTTATTCGTGGATTAACTTGAAGAATATTTCGCATATCTGAGGGAGGTCCAAGCTCCCTTTACGTCCCTCTGAAATGCCACTAGCGTTGCGGCACTAGCGGTAAATGGCACCGAAAATCGCGGCCCTATCGTAAACTTTTCCAGTAATCCAGGGCCTATACTTTTAAAAAAAGTTGAGAGATCGTAAGTTCACCAGCTAATCATTGACGCCTTTTCAAGCAAAATCCACCAATCATAGACAAGAAAATAGAGCGTAAGTTCTTACGTTCACTTGCGAGTTTTTAAAGTATGGCCTCAGGATTATGGCCAAAGACACCCCGACTGTCCCAAGACACCCCGACAGTCCCAAGACACCCCGACAGTCCCAAGGCACCCCGACAGTCCCAATACTCCTTGACAGCTGCACGATACGCACCTATATAATGCGCAGCTATACACGCACCAGCAGCTACGTAGCAGCGATAGGATCCGTCTGTCCATTGACGGGTCTAGCTGCGTGTTGACAGGGCAAACTGTCAAGCAGAGTCTGCTGTTGACTGTCTTTTGTGCGGTCATTTTTATAGCGAAGCGCGGCAAACACGGCCGCCCCGAGTACAGGCGCAGAGAGCTTATCTCCTCAAGACCTTTGTGGCGGCAGGACTTCACTTGGATACCTGGCATGAGCTCAGGTGTTTACATGTGTGCACTTCCTTAAACGTACATCCCAGTTAAAATTTAGGGCAGGGAATAGAGCAGGCCGTCGCCGGCTGCAGAGCCGGCGTAGAGACGCGACAGAGCAGCGATAGAGCAGAAATGTCCGCTTTAGAGACGATATTAATTTAGAGTCGCCCCAGCTTCTGGTAATCCAAATCAGAAGCTTACGCGTCTATAAATTTTCACTGGGCCTGATCCACCACATCAATCGCCTGACTCTCGAATCAATCTCCATCATGATGCAATCAAGTCTAAAAAAGTAGACCCACACTAAACTACATAATTTGACTTTTCATCAATATGAAGGCAGTTAGTTATTTATTCTTCACACGCGTTGAGTTTGACACTCAATTTCAATGGCTTCTATGTCAGAAATTTTTCATTTTACCGTCTTGATTGTTTTTTTATTTAAATAACCATTATAACCATTATCAATAATAACAATTATAATCATTAATTTGAATAACAATTTAAATTTCATTAATTCCTTTAATAATTAAGGTTATTACTTTTTCTAAGAAATAGCTTAATTTTAGCTCACAAATTCTTCTTCAAATTATTTTTTTATTCAATTGCTGAGGTTTTAATTTCATTTCAAATAAGAGATTGAGGAGCACCAATCTAAATAATTTGCGTTAGCTTCCTCGGCCCTGTGAAGGCTGAAAAGATTCGCCTATCTAAACAAAAAAATTAAAATTTTTAAATTCTTGTCTCACTCCATAAACGCCAAGTTTCATTTTCTTACCGAATCTCCATCACGTTGCCAGAATTAATTTAAATGCCTCCTTTTTTTAGCGCATTTTCTCATTTATGGAAAAAGGCGTTATTGTGCTCGTCATGTCCGTCTGTCTGTCTGTCCGTCTGTCCGTGACAACACGTTTTCGTCGACGAGAAAATGCGCTCTCTGTCACTCACTGCAGTGACTGAGTTATATTTTTTTAACTACTGCATCACTTTCAATCCGATATCAAGGTAAGCGTCGTAAAGCTTGCACATGTAGCATATACTTCGCAAAATGGAGTCTTTCTTGCTCAAGCAACGACATGTTCAGCTCTTCCTCAACCGTCAAGCCAAAGCAATATTTTCAGTGGGACAGAATTATATAAAATATACCAAGTTAGCTAATATTTATATTTGATCAGATAATAGAAATAATGTTCAGTTGGGGTGCATGTGGTGACACAAGGCCTCTACAGTTTCATGTTGTACTGAATAACGTCTAGTCGTACTGTTAATTTTATTGCGTTTATCATCTTATGGTTGACGTTTATATCAACCCTCGCTCGCAGAAACCATGCCGGGACAGAGGTTATAATTGAAACTAATATTTTATAAATTTCCAATTAATATTTTCGATTCACAGATTAAATGCAAAATTTAAAACTACAGATCACAATCCACCGTAAATTCAGACGGCTAGTGCAAGAAATGCTGGTCCATACAAACCAGATCTTCGATGGTCAAAACGCAAATAATAACTGGCTTCTACACACAGATCCCGATTAAATGATTAGATACAATTCAATGTAGGTTCACAATGGCCTACACGCAGATCCTGATTAGAAAGAATACATTGCAGATCTAAGTTAACCCAAAGTCAAGTTATTCGCTAAATGACTGACAAGGAGTTGTCAAAGTGAATTGCTATAAACGATCCTGAGTGAAACGATCCTAGGTGAAATGAACTCAAATTAAAATTAGCCATTATTGGCAAAAATACTGGACCTAATTGACATCAATATTTGTCCTAATTAGCCCGAATAGAAAGCTTAATTCACATCAATTCATGTCCTAACTGGCATAAATACAGACTAACTGGCAAAAAACTTGTCCTAAATGGCACCAATTTAGATCATAAGCGCTCAGGTGAACAGTTGATGTGCTGGTGTAAAGTTGAAGAACAGGATACAACTGATGCACAAGTGTTTAGTTCTTGTAGAGCTGTGGATGTGTGCAGCAGGTGTATAACGTATGTATTAACGCGTGTGGTATACAATGTAGCCTAACAAAATTTAGAGACGTGAGCGGCCCTGAATTAGGGCCGCCTAGAGGAGCACGTAAATCAGCTTCTCTATGTCCGCTCCGGACCAGTGGCCATACTTTCAAAACTGGCTAAGTGAAAGTAAGTACTTACGCTCTATTTTCTTGTTTGTGATTGTTGGATTTTGCTCGAAAAGCCGTCAATTATTGGCTGATGAACTTACGATCTCTTAACTTTTTTTGAAAGTATGGGCCCTGGGTTCGAAGGGCAGCCTCTGGCCAGCTTGCTGGCTCGGTATGCCTCGGCTCTGCCAACCCTTGTCGTACTCTCAGGCGACTATAAAGTCGGAAAGGAGATTCTGACCAGAAACTGATTTCGATCGGGTGGCTAAGCAGACCCAGAATGACTGTGCCCCGAGTGTAGTGACTATCCGGCCGAAACCATAGGCGGTCCCCAAATTTTGTTGGGGTATGGCTGCATTCATTCACTTACCGTTGACGGCAAAAGGATGATTCAGCATATGAAATATTATTATTACTTATTAATGATGCATTTATAAATGAATTAAGGGAATGTTCTCCGACTTTCATGTGGTGCGTTATATAGAACGGTGAATGAATATCAGTTTTTGTGGCCGTTTGGCATAATTGACGGTAAGTTGGCGAATGGTAGTTGCTAGGACACTTGTGCCTCTATCAGTGCACTAGTGAAGTATTTGTAATTAGTGCACTAGTACAGCGTCTTTAAGTAGCACGATAGTCAATTGATTGTAACTAGAAAACAAGTCACTAGTCTGTTACAAGACTGACTGATACAATAGCGCCTACAGAACATGAGGGTTGATTCCACAAACAATGGTTTCATTGTAACTGTGAACTTTATAATATATACTGCATACTGTACGCTGTACAATGTACAAGGTTCACTGTAAATGTACACTGTACAATGTACACTGTAAATGTCCACTGCACAAAGTGCACTGTATAATGTACACTGTACAAAGTACACTGTACAATGTACACTGTACATTGTACACTATACAAGGTACATTGTACAATGTACACTGTACATTGTACACTATACAAGGTACATTGTACAATGTACACTGTACAATGTAGCCTGTAAACTGTAAGCTGTATTCTCAATAGGTTGATTGAAAACAAATTGCGAGGTTAAAAGAATTTATTCACTGCAGATGAATATGACGAAAAATTATTATTTAGAATGGAAGTGCCGCTAGCGCGGCAACTAGTGGACACTAGCGCGGCCACTAGTGGACACTATCGCGGCCACTAGTGGACACTAGCGCGGCCACTAGTGGACACTAGCGCGGCCACTAGTGGACACTAGCTATATAATTTTAACTCGTTGGTTCAATAACAATTTTCTTCGAGTTTCAAATTCCAAATGTCATGACACAACTGCAAATAATTTTATATGCTAATAAATTTTATTCCTAAGTTTTCTTCTAAACAAATAAAACGAGTCCCCGGCATGACGATGGCTAGTTTAAAATTAGAATGACTTTCTCAAAGCAAAATGACGTGTTCAATGAAATTATAGAGAAATTCTCTCTAAATTATGCACAAATTCATTTGGAAGTAAACATCCAAATTTATAGACGAGTAAGAATAAGTTTACACACGAGCTGAGAAATATTGTGTATTTAAAGGTCAATAAATGAAAGATCATAATCTATTAAAATATGAGAGTTACAGGAATATCTTAGAATAGATAAGAAAAATTGCATTCTTTGCCAAAAATTCATAAAAGGCGAAATTGGGGAAAGTAACAATAAAATTCCGTTTCGCTTTCTGAACTAATTATCACATAGCATTTAAATCTGGATAAACTAACTGAATATCAAGACGCAATACGGTAAGTACATTCATTATGTACATATAGCATCAATAGCACATCTAGTACTACAATCATCACATCTACAATGACTATGCGGGTCTTACTAGACACTAGTGCATAAATTTAAGAATACACTAGTATATTACAATATATTATGTTTTACAAGTAGCTACTAAATATGTAGAAATATAGTATTTGCATTCATTAGAAGCCTTTCGTGTTGTATGCACGCTAAACGACCTCGCTCATCCAGCACACTACCCTCACTCATCCAGCTCACTACCCTCACTCATCCAGCACACTACCCTCACTCATCCAGCACACTACCCTCACTCATCCAGCAGCCGCGGCGTCTTTCATGTAACAAAAGGAAGAAACTATTACACATGTAACATGTATTAAGTGTGCCAGTAACATGTATTACATGCGTATGTAATATGTATTACTATTACATACGTCGTAATAGTAATAGTATGAGTATTTAATATATATTACTCGCATTAATGTTTAGTCTACGTCGAAAATTGTTTGTGATGGTCTAACATTTTTTCTGATTAATTCCGAATAATTCCGTGAAAGTGCTTGTTCATAGCGCACCATGCTGGGCCACAGTGCACGCTCACTATCATCGTAAGCATGTGCAGCAGTTATATCATCACAATCTCACTATCATCGTAAGCATGTGCAGCAGTTATATCATCACAATCTCACTATCATCGTAAGCATGTGCAGCAGTTATATCATCACAATCTCACTATCGTCGTAAGCATGTGCAGCAGTTATATCATCACAATCTCACTATCATCGTAAGCATGTGCAGCAGTTATATCATCACAATCTCACTATCGTCGTAAGCAGCTCTGAGAATGCGGCCTGCATCGACAACTCTGCTATTTAAATACCAACTTATTCATATTATCAATTATTGAGGTTATGCATTATCTAGATAAATATTCGATAACATATATTGCCACGGTTATTCTTAATTCTACGTTTAAAACAAATAAATGATTTTAAAAGTATTCGGGGTGTGGAATTATAGCAATTTTATAATATAATCACATTTATATAGAACCACTCAATCCTAACCATCGATGTAACTCAGTGTAACTGGTTAAGTCGCCACTATAGTCGATAGTTCGATCTAGTGGCGTCACTAGCATCCAAACTAGTGCACCGTCACGCAACTATGTGCAGCGGTGCACTGTACTAGTGACGTTACAAGTGGTGCAGTGCACTTCACAGCACCAGTGGAATGAGCAGTGACATCTCTGCTCCACTACCACTGACCGAGTGAAGTAGTTTCGACCACAGCACAAGTGACGGCAGTGACGCTTGTCCTGACACTGCCGACCACTTGTTCCAGTGACACCTGGAAGGAGGGAGAGGGAGTGTTAGTGACCACGGTTAGTGACGCACGTAACTAGCTGTAGGTAGTGTCACAGAAGCTATAGGGTATATCGCTGTTAGGAAAATCACCGTTAAACGGACGACACGTGAAAATAAACACCGTATGACAGTTTTTATTCGAATTTACCACTAGAAACCCGTATAACAAGTGAAAAAAACGGATAAACGGTTTATTTTCACGTGGCGACCACGAAAATAAACACAGGTGAAACCGTTTTTTACAGTTTTTTCTAACAGTGCACGTTATATTAAAAAATGCAGTATTTAAACGGTCTGACTGTCGGTATAACAGGCTGGCTGCATGCAGTGATGTAACACGACGCCATGATTTCTGTTTGCCATTGGCTTGAGAAAGCAGAATGCATTCGCGCTACGACTCGAGCTCAAGATAATTCGCTGGAGATACAAAATTGCCGGGCGCCCAGCACCTGTCAACTCTATATCCCGACCCTAAAATTATAGCACTGACATCTCCCGACCCTAGAGTTATCGCACTAACATCTCACGTCCCTAGAGTTATCACACTAACATCTCACGTCTCTAGAATTCACCTAAAATAGCTGATTCTCCTTCAACTGGGATGACATCGCCTAAAATATCTGATTCTCCTTCGACTGGGATGGCATCGCCGAAAATATCTGATTCCCCTTCAACTGGGATGGCATCATCCAAAAGTAGCTGACTCTCCTTCAACTGGGATGGCATCACCTGAAATAGCAGACTCTCCTTCAACTGGGATGGCATCACCTAAAATAGCTGACTCTCCTTCAACTGGGATGGCATCACATAAAATATCTGATTCTCCTTCAACTGGGATGGCATCACCCAAAATAGCTGACTCTCCTTCAACTGGGATGGCATCACCTGAAATAGCAGACTCTCCTTCAACTGGGATGGCATCACCTAAAATAGCTGACTCTCCTTCAACTGGGATGGCATCACATAAAATATCTGATTCTCCTTCAACTGGGATGGCATCACCAAAATAGCTGACTCTTCTTCAACTGGGATGGCATCGCCGAAAATATCTGATTCTCCTTCAACTGGGATGTTCAAAGGTAGCTGACTCTCCTTCAACTGGGATCGCATCACCTAAAATAGCTGACTCTCCTTCAACTGGGATGGCATCACCTAAAATAGGTTCCCTACCTATATCAGGCCTGACGTCACAGAAGCTGGGAGACTCACATTTAACAGGGGTGACTTCACTTAAAATAAATTACTCACCTACATCATGGTTGACGTCACAGAAGTTAGGTGAGGGTTGCAGGTAGATCAAGTCAGTGACGGTAGGTGACCGTTCGCTGTCCTGACCCTCAGGCTGAAGGAGAAGTCTTTTGATCCTCTTCTTCTTCTTCTTTTTCTTTTTCTTGCTTTTCACGCGAACTCCTTGACCTCGCTCCGTAGGCCCAATTCCCTTGGTGATGAAATTACGATTCAGAAGGGGTTGGGGGGCAACTCTGTGATGGGGATTGAGATGCATTACCCTTCGCTTCAATTTTCCTCCAGGGGACGACGCAGGGATCCGTCCTATTGAGGGCTGAGCTGGAGATTGACTTCTCTTTTTGTGGGATTTTAGTGTGGATTTTACTGAATTGAAGTCGGCGCTAGCATCGGCGCTTACGGTCACCAGGTGAGCTTTGTCATATAACTCCTGAGAGATGCGAGGGATAATCTCTTAGTAATGAAAGTAATAGGTAGATGAAGGCAAGACTTATTACACACGCAATCAAAATTTAGGTGAAGTAGAAGTGGGAGTTGCCCATGGGAGTTGGATGCCAATGAATATACATGTGTTGCTAACGACAAATACGGGAGGAATGCACATGCCTACTCACTTCTCAACATCCCACATGCCCACTTCCAGCCTTTCTGTCTCTCCATCAGTCACATTAGCCTCCAAAACGATCACTTGCCCAGCCACGAGGGTACTTGCATCATAAACCCACCCCATTATAAACCCACTCATCCAATTTGAGCCTATTCATCACGAATATAACCCATTAGTTTACCTTGAGACCAATAGTCAAATCAAAACCCCACTCCTCTGCCATAATCTTATCACCCTATAATGAGCCTACTCACCCCTTTTTCAGCCCAGACACCAAGCCTTAAGGCTGGTATTGAGAACCGCGAGGCTTCCGACAGGCTCGACTCTTCCCTATGAGTTTCTTCACAAATAGGGTTGGACTTTCCTCCACTCGTGAATGAGATGGCGATATGAATATTTCCATCCTTCTTCAGCTATATGCGGTTATAGGCGGCTTATTGCCAACCGCTGGCCATTCCTTGGCCACATGAAAACCGCCCATCACCGCAAGAAAGGGGCTGGCTAGAATATCATATTGCAAAGACAACAAGTTCGAGAGAAGCAACTGGCCGAACTTAGGGCCGATCGAGGATTTCGCAGGATGGTCGCGAATACCGCGCCCTCAGACTTCGTTGCACTTTGATTGCCAGCCTTACGAAGCCACTTTGATTGCCAAAATTGCCAGCCACTTTGATTGCCAAAGTGCAACTTCGTTGCACCAACTTCGTTGCACTTTGATTGCCAGCCTTCTTAGTCTATCTTCAGCCCGATCGTCCTTCTCTAAGCTAATCCGCTACACCTTCATCCCACTCGCCCTAAATCAAGCCCACTCAACAGGTTTCCAGCCCACTCAAAACAAATCCAGCCTAACCTCCACACCATCAGCCCACCCACTTCACCTTCAGCGTATACCCACTGCACCTTCAGGGTCCCCACTCTACCTCCAGCCCACCCACTCTACCTTCAGCACACCCACTCTACCTCCAGCCCACCCACTCTACCTCCAGCCCACCCGCCCCACATCCATGATAGTGCAGCGATAGTGCAGCGATAGTGCAGTGATAGTGCAGCGATAGTGTAGCGATAGTGCAGCGCTAGTGCAGTGATAGTGCAGCGATAGTGCAATGATAGTGCAGCGCTAGTGCAGCGCTAGTGCAGCGCTAGTGCAGTGATAGTGCAGTGATAGTGTAGCGATAGTGCAGCGATAGTGCAGTGATAGTGCAGTGATAGTGCAGCGATAGTGTAGCGATAGCACTGCATGTGCAGCAAGGTCACCTACAATTTGGTGCAGTCGTGAATTTGCACGGCAGCAAAGATAGCTGCATATCAACTATGCATGTGAATGGTGAAAAATATTCAACATCGTCCTTGACAATTAATTAATTTGAATAGAAAATGACGCAAAATTTTGAGTCCAAGAAAGGAAAAATCCCGGATCACTGCTTATGGAGCGTTGAAATCTCCCTTCTCTAGTCTACGGACACTTGCCGCCCGGTTAGTCTTTTCTTCATGCCAAATATTGAACTTGACACGATAATTCAATTGTTACTCATTAAACTGTCAAATCTGATTGCAACCCGTCTAGATATCGCATTAGTTGCATCCATCCGCAAATGGCGTTTATACGAGATCGAGTATGAGCTAATTTTGTCGAAAAATAGTTTTGATCGGCGTTATTTCAACGTCAGAAACCCTGCGAAAGAAGGAGCTGAAGTCTCAGATAGTGAAGGCTCCGAAGTCTAGGGAGCCTACATATATGACATCCTAGAGGTAAGGCTTATCCTTCTATAGGCTATGGTTCAACTCGATGGTTCAACACGCATCAACATTCAACGTTCAACATTCATCAGCTCCTCTCACTAACTACCTCTGGGAGCAGATGGTTTCAAGCTATACAGATTAGAATGTACAGTACACTAACGTATGTACAGTACACTAACGTATGTACAGTACACTAACGTATGTACAGTACACTAACGTATGTACAGTACACTAACGTATGTAC